GGGGGGGGGGAGTTGGAGCACAGATCTGTGCAGGGCTGGATGCAGCTGTGGGCTGGAGCCAGGTCTGCACTGGGCTCTTCTCAGTGGGAGCTGGGCTTGAGGTGGGGGCTATGGAGGGGGTTACAGTCACCCCAAATTTTGCTGTAGCCCTGCTCCCAGTGCTGATGCTGCCACCTGCCCAGCACAGCCCTAGCACCACCCATGCACTAGGAAGAGCTAGGGCTGCACTGGGTGGGCAGCAGCATTGGTGCTGGGAGCAGGGCTATGGAGAAGTCTGGGGTGTCTGCAGCCCGCCCCCTAAGCCCAGCCCTGGCTCCAGCCTGCAGCTTCAGCCTGCCCCACCCCAGTCCAAGAGGGGAACACCCCCCCATGCCTTCCTGGGGTTCATGGTGGCAGGAGACCCCCTCCCCTGCCCCCAACAAGCCATGGCTCCATCCAACACCCTGCCCCAGCTGGGCAGAGCTTATCCCTGCTCCCTCCCTCACCAGGAGGTGTTGATCACCCCCCCAACCACACCCCTTCCCTCCCTGCTCCCCTTCTACCACAACGGACTTACCAGCTGCATGCAGCTCTCCATGCTGCCGGACTGTGCTCCTCACTGCCTGAGTACTGTGCTGCGGCTGCGTGCACGCACAAGCATTTATCGGCCAAATTGTCAGCCACATCGGGCCGATATCCGATGCAGCCAATTTTCTTTGCATCGGTACTGATCTAATATCAGACCGATGTATCGGTGCACCTCTAATGAATATATATATGATCCATGCGGCTGTCCAGTATTTGTATAAGCACTTGGAGAGATTGCATAAGCAATAAATAAATGTACCATATTTACTCAAATATAAGTTGATCCCAAATATAAGATGACCCCCCAATATTAGATTCTATATATGAAAAATGTATAAATTTGTTGTAATTTTCCAGGTACAAAACCTAAATATTGGAGGGCTGTCTTGAATGCTCCCCCACCATTACTACAGTGAAAAAAGTAGTGGCTGGGGGGGGGGAGGGTCAGATGGCCCCTTGCCTTCTGCCCCACACACTTCTTCCCCCTGCAGCCCCCCCAAACATTTATACCCCTCCACTCCCAGCTCCCCACCACTCTTGCCCCTTCTCCCACTCCCCCAGTCTCTGCCTCTTCTCCCCTGCTCCCCACTTTCCGTGCCTATTCACCCTCCCTGCACCTTACTGTCAGATGCTGCTCTGGCTACTCAGTTCCACAGCACAACATATGGAAGTTCAGCCCTTGCCTGGCCATGCAGCAGTGTTGGTGATGGTGATGGCCAGGCAAGGGAGTTTCCATATGCTCCCTGCCAGGGACAGACCCCAGCCTGGGCTAGAGCTGAGTTGCACCTGACACTGAAAGGAAGGGAAGAGGGGAATGGAGGGGCAGAAGATGCAGAGGGGAAGTGGAGGGAGGTGCAGGAACCAGGGCCGGACACAGGCATGGGCAAACCAGGTGGCTGCTGGGGGCCCAGACAGAAAGGGGGCCTGGAAATGGTAATTTTTTTCCCTGTTGTCCAATTATTATTAGCATTATCTCTGGCAAAGGGGGGGCAAATACTAAAAGTTTGCCCGGGGCTGCCAGGAGTCTAGGTACATCAGCGGCAGGAAGCTGCTGTGGGTCTAATTCTGGCCCCAACACAGGCTCAGGGCCAAAGTCAGAGCTGCAGCAGCTGCTTGCTCCACCATCTGCTTATATGCAAATATAAGACAAGAGGCTTTTTTCTCCATGATGACTGGGGGGGAGGTACTTCATCTTATATTT